TGTTCAGGAATCAGATATCATGTACATAAACAACAAGCTCCAATTGCAATTCATGAATATAGAACTCGGCACAAACATCATTACATTACTCCGTTTATGAAAAAAAACTTGTACTCAACGGTCATATTCCTATATGGTACCAAAATTATACAATACAATTCCGGAAAACATAAAAATCATTGATAGTAAATACTTGTTCAAAACAGAGCTAAAAGATTTTATTTTCAAAGGCGAGCGTCACATTATTGATGATTACTTCTAATACTATAGCAATATATACTTAAGTTTAGGCAAATTAAAAATAAGTTATCTGTATATCATAGTTAGAAATGTATTAGTACCTATTGTGTGATTTTATTATTATTATTATTGTTATTAATTATTATTAGATTTTACTCTTCTGTAACCTTTTATTTACTTTTGGCCAAAACAAGTGTCTATACACTTATTGGAATCCAAAGCTTTATTCTTGACATTACTGTGATGTATCTATAGTTATTTTATCTATTGCATTTATTGTATAAAATTAACTGTATTATGTATTTTATTGAATAAAGCAGATTATTATTATTATTATTATTATATCTGTTATTTACGTTTGGAGAAGAAAATTATTCAAATAAAAGTTACTTCTAATATTATTATCTATAATTTTTGCCTTATGTCAAAATTTCCTGAAATGGTCCGTGTTCGAGAAATTTGACAAAATGTACAAAATTCTGATTTTTATGAAAATTGTTGAACTAAAAGATGTTTGCGATATTGATCTCTATGATTTTTCTTAAATGGACCGTAATGGAAAAATTGTAGGAAAAGTGCTAAATTTAAATTTTTCAGTATTTTCGAATATCTATAGAAAAATGTTTCGAGGTAGATGTATGTGTAAAATGTATATATTTAGTTTATCCTCTAAACATTTATAGAGGTGCTGCAATAGGTTGTACAAAATAACCGGAAAAAGCCACTAATAACTAGATAGGAAAGTCATGTGTTGGACACATCAGATTTTTTAGTATTTGAGATTATATATCAAATTTTTCAAGCCGTATACGAGGTTTGTCAAAAAATATAAATTTTGCTCAGGAGTACATTTATTTTTGACAAAATCGAAAATTTTCATTAAGAAAAGTTGATAAGAATTGAAAATTACATTCAAATATGCAATTACACAGATCTATCTGAAAAATCATATTTTTCTAGATTTTGCATTGAAGATTTTGCATTGATCCACCTAATGACGGTAATCCATAATTTTTTTCTCTCTTCTCTACTATAAACATGATACGCTTTCCTTTTCTTGATGTTTGTGAAGAATTTAGCAATTTTCTTAGGGAAAATTTTCGATTTTATCAAAAATAAACGTACTTTACTCTTGAGCAAAATTCATATTTTTTGACAAACCTTGTATACGGCTTGAAAAATTTGATATCTTACGACTGTATTTTAAGTTTTGGGTCATGCAGGACTTTTTATCAAGAATAACTTTTTTCCTAAAATCAATAATAAATTTTTTTTCCATATGGTTCCAAAACTCAATTTAAAAATAAAAATGGAAAAAAAATGCAAAGCTTGCATAACAGAAACGTCGAGCGATCGTTTCCCTATTGAAAACAATTAGTTCTTTGGCTAATACCGCATCAGGCATTGAATTAATATCAAAAATAGAATAGCAGAGATAAAACTTTTAATTAAAATATAATGGAAACATCTATAAATTCAAATTTATGTTGAACATAAATATGGTTTAAAAAGAAAATACATATTATTAATTTAATTTAAGAAAAGGGGGTTTATCTAATATTTTTTGTAATTAAATTTAAAATATTGGATAAAAATCCAATTAGAATTAGTAGTTAGCAAATCGAAAATTTTAACTTAAAACTTTTTTAATAAAATGACTTTTAATTCTATTACAATATCAAAAGAATGAATATCTTCACGTGGTAGGCTATGATTATTTTAGACATTACATTCTAGGCCAAGATATACAGTGCGGTTCATATGTATGGAATACATTTATTTTTAGCGTTATATACTTTTGTAAAAAAAACTCCTATTCTTAATTTGACAATTTATCGTATGAAAATATTATGAAGGAGTGCTTATGTGTCATATTCATAATAACGCTAAAAATGAATTCTTATTCCATACATGTGGATTGCACAACTGAATTTAGAGTACTATTTTAAGATGAATTGCGGTGGTATCAAATGAAGGAAAATATTAGTTTTTTATTTAATTGAAAATGAAAGATGGTTGCCATAAGAAATAACAGACTCACGATAAGTAACGCGACAAAAATAAAAGGCAACTTCGAAAAAAATTTTCTAGAAAAATACAAATTTGGTCATGTCTAGTTTTTTTTTTAATAGGTAAGAAATTCAAAAACTTCATAACTTTAGGAAATTTTGAAAACGGACCCGAGCTCAGCTTCAAATTCTCTAAAACATTCCCCATTTAACCTATATCAAGACACACTGACACACTTTACAACGAATTTTCATTGAGATTAAAAAAATCAATGAATGATCTGTTTAAAAACTTCAAATTTACAAATTGTAAAAAAGTGGCTGCTCTGGTAGTTTGGTGAAAAGGTAAAATTAAAAAAAAATTAAAATTATACTTATTATTTATTTTCATTGAAATTTTCCATACAAACTTCGAAAAAGGCACTTTTGGCATTCCACATTAAATTATATGTATAATATACAATATATAGTCATATAATAAGGTTGAACACATACGTTTACACAAAATACAAATATAAATAAAAAAATGCGAATGTGTTTTTCTTTTTCATCTTTCTTCACTTGGAATTGTACGTATGGAACCTATCTCTAACCTAAAGCCTAAATAGCACTAGCAAAATGTCCAAAAAAACTGTCTAATATAACCAAAAAATATATGAAAACCTTATCGAAATTTTATATACCAAAAGTGCTATCATTATGGTGTAATTTTTACTCTAAAAAAAATTACAAGATAATTTAACAGTATTTTTTAGCTGTTGATCTAAAAAGTCTTTTTGCTAGCACTATTATCATCACATATGAAATAAATGTAAAATGGAAATCAAATCCAATTAATAACAGCGATAAACTAGGATCATTCCTATACAGGGTGAGTCTAAAATATCATTAAAACAATTTAAAATAAAATAATTATATTTTTCAAACAATTAATTTTTTATTTTTTATATTTGTATGAATTATTTATCATAAAGGACAGATACAGTTAAAATAATGTGCGTGCAAAATATGCAACGCCGAATCTACGCCAGGAACATTTGTACCGTTAAAATCAATTGACATAACAGCATAAATGTTTCCTCATACGTAGACATAATTGAAATATTTGTATACAGTTATTTATTCATAATATATGTACCCAGTTCGTTTAAATTAAATTTCATAGATTTTTTTTACAAATGTTAAGCCTAATAGTTATTCTTACCATTAATAAATAATTATTGAGATCAAATTATTTAAATATGTAGAATTATTAATTTTAATTTTATAATTAAACATATCAAACTTTTAGCAAAAACAAGTGATTATGAAATAATTAACCTTGCACGCCACACACGTAATCACACAATCAAAACACTTGTGTTTGTTTAAATTAAAATTTAAAATCACTTTGGTCGTTCGAAATATTTTTTTTTAATTAGTAACAATGTCCATATCCCACGTGATCTGATATTTTTTTTTTAATGAAAATGGCATTGTTTTAGGGTTACAACTGAAGTTATTAATGTTACTTTTAGCCTATATGGTCACGTGGGATACGGGTATTATTGAAGATTCTGTAGATATTTTTCGATGATTTAATTTTAGATACACCCTGTATCCTTTGTTCAATCAGACCTATCACAGAGAATATGATTTCGCAAGCTGTTTTGGCAAAAATTATTAAAAAAGTATTATTTCTATCAGTCTTTTATAGAATATCATGATACCTGATAAGAAATAAATATAGATAGGGTGGTGTAGTATTTTAAATCTACAATGAACATAAATAAAAAAATAATATCTATCTTAAAAGATTTTTTTTTTTTTTTGATTATTTTGTGCTATTTTAATTATTGTTATCAAAGTTTTCATCACCCTGTAGTTTAAAATGCAATACTGTCAGATTTTGTCTCATTTTATAGTACATATAAGCATATATGAGAAAAAATTACAACAAAAATATAAAATTTGATAAATTACACGTCAAAAAATTATCACAGGACAGTTTTGGAATTATGGTTACCAGAGCTGCGAAATCTTACTCCTAACAACTGTTTTATTATTCTCAACATACACTTATTATTGGCAGTATTTTCTTTACAGAAAAAAAAAAATAGGAATAAAAAGCAATTTTGGAATGAGCTTAAATGAGCTATTGTAAACATTTGTCGAAAAAAGTTGCACTTGTTAATAATCATATATCACAGTTACAGCACAATAGGTTGCAACCGGATTTAACAGTCTTTTTCTGTCATCACAGAACTCTTTTTTTACCATTACACTCGGAATTTGGCGCTGCGCTCCTGTATAAAGAGTGTTCGATCAAAAAGCGACTTCTTAAAATTCCAGAGCCTACTGCATTCTTTGTTAAAATTGTTCGAAAGGCACAAAACTCGAAATATCCTCTGTACGCGATCCACAGAATCTCAAAGCGTCGTTTTACAAAAATGACCGGCCCAAAATCTTCCAAAAATTATCTAATTACTGTCTCGATAAGGCCAGTTTACTATAAAAACACCCAATTATATTTATTACAATGTAAAAATCTTATATAATATAAAAATTACATCACATGATTATTTATAGGAGATTATAAAAATGTTGGCAATCTTGGAATAAATTATAAAACAATTATTTTGCGATAAACTTCATTCACAAAAAAGAAACATTCTACTTTGAACACAAACTATTACCCAATAATATTGAATCAAAGTATTAATTTATATTTATTTTGATCAGAATATTGTAATAAGCCATTATTACTTACTGCACAAATTTGATTTGGTTGTAATCATTACATCGTTAGACTAATAATTGCAAAATCGGTCTAGACGAAGTATCAGACAAAATACCCTTTCTGTAACAAATCGTTTTTGAGATTCGAAAACCGCATAGAGGATTTTAAACATCTTAAACTGTCTCTTTGCCTTCTAACTTTTTGGCGAGATCCGATATCACTTCTTTAAAAATGAGGGGGTCAATATTTTTACCTAGCTGGTACAAAACGAACCAGTCTCCGATTTCGCACTTGTTACAGATGGTTTCGATTTGATCCGATGGAGCGATCCTGCATTTGGTTCTGAGCAGATAGAGCCTGATTTTGGGTGCCACGATAACGACGCATCTGTAGATAAGCGAAATTCCTGATAGAACCGATAAAAGGATGAACCAGAACCACAGGAATACGTAGATTTTTTCGTTGACAATGTTGAGCGGGAGAACGCAAAGCCCGTCGAATCTCTGCACAGATCCCGATGGACCGTATTTGTTGAAGGTACATTTAGTTACCTTGGGAAACACTCTAGCCATCGGATCCTCTCTTTGTTCGGGCTCCATTTCGGTAAATTTGAGAACGTCACTACCGTACGTGCTGAATTCTCCGTCCAGGAAGAAGTCCATGAAGAAAATCTGTCCTACTACATTGACGAAGTTCAATACTTCGCATATAAAGAATCTAAACGCGTAGAAATTCTGCATGTGAAGATTGGAAGTAAAGTAATCGACTAAAAGTTGTTTGCGATCCTTTTTGCAATCCTCCGAAACGATAGGGCAGTTCAAGTCTAAAACCAGCATTTTAATACGGCTTCCTTCCCAGGTTTTCCATAAATACCTGGGTATGTAAAACAACATGGCTTGGAAGAACAGCGCAAAGCAAACCCACTGGTAGTATTTGTGATACTTAACTTCATCGCGCCCATCAACGTGACTGGCGACCCCTGGCTGCACTATATCCTTACCTATGTGTCCTGTCAGTCTATCGGGTACCGTAAACGTAGAATAAATCCAACAATAAGTGTCCATAACATTTAAAGGAATTTCATCAACTATACAGTCTATGGGATCTCCGACATACTGTCTGCTAGTTACTAGAAGAGAAAAAGCTACCAGTATTACCACGGTAGCTTTGTAATGCAGCCGAAAAATATTGTTGTCTATGCATACTTGGTCGATTTTTAGCAGACCTTTCACTGATCCAAACACGTCAAACATGGTTGTTCTTTATTCACTACACTCCACTCACTATTTTACCACTGCTACCATGTATTGTTTTTTTATGTAGGTATGAAGTAAACGTACGGTTACGTTGTCGCTACGCTGATATTTACTGAACTGGCTAAACGCTGATGAGCGGTCGAGCGAGAGTTCGTAAGAGGGGGACGGATTCGAAGCCCCTCCACGCTGTGTTTTTAGCCTCTGCGAGGGGTTAGCAGATACGAGATGGGAAATAAGTTTAGTCTTTTGCGGACAGCGTTGCCGGCGGCTTGATATTCTCAAATCAACTGGGGAAATTGTATTTGATCGATAAATATTTTTAGATTCTGTGAGTTTGCGAAATTTAATTAACAATTTATATATGATTGGTCAATTAAAGGAAAAATCAATAAATGTGATAGATTGTAACACAATTAAGTGTTATTATATTAACGCATGTCACACTCAATCGCTTATTAATTGCTTAAAAAATATTATAAATAAGTATGTAGGTAGGATACCTACCTAGTTTTCATTAATTTTAATTTAATTAAGGAAAGTTTTATCCTTATCTATTTATAATGTTGTAAAGATATTTAAATTTGCTTTATTGGTAGGTAATTCAATTTATTCAATGAAGAATATATTCGACTAGTTTTATCTTAAATATATTTAATATTATAAGTAGTTTTTAAAGTAGGTCATGAACGACAAAGGGTCATATCAATCATAAATATACATAGATCTAAATTTAATTGAAACTGACATTTAAAAAGAAGAAGAATTGTACGCTCAGACATGCGTGAATTTATTGTAGGCTTACTTTAAGCCTTGGTTTCTTTGAACACTCCGTCGCGGTGAGCGGACAGACCGTCGACCACTGAGGACAGCAATTTTCGCCCGAGGTGGTTTGTTAAAAAATATAGAAAATGATACTTTCTCTATGTCTGTACGTGCTGTTTATGTATTATGAATGTTAACGAAAGGTACTAAAATGGATGCAAATAAATTGTTTGCGTTATTATTGTTGGAAGAGGAAGAACATGAAGAACTGGCAATTGCAACCGTCAAAGTTTCCAATAAGCCAGTGGATGAGTTGTTTTTGTGTCGCGATACAGAAGGTGCCTTTAATATCACAGTGCAGCGGAGGCTTTTTGGAAATGAAACCAAATTTAGGGAGTATTTTAGACTTTCTACAGATCTTTTTGAATTCGTGTTGTTTTATAAAGGACATAATTTCCAAGAAACCTAAAAATAAAGTCATAATGTCATCTGTATGTGTGAATTTGTCACTCATTGTTTTAAAATTAATAACAATATAGTCTCCGCACACGCCGACGATTCCGCTGATATCAAACTCAACAGATATCAACCGACTCTTCGCGACAAATCAGCGACATGACGCCGTCCTGCTCAGCTAAGCGGATTCAAGAAAACCATTCCCATTTAAATACTCTGGTTGGATAAAATCGTCAGAACGCGACGGTTGACGGACTGTCCGCTCACCGCGACTAAGAGTTCAAAGAAACCAAGGCTTTAGAAACCATTTTTTGTGGATGACTCCATATTTTGAGACATTAACATGCCATTTCTTATCAGTATGAAGTGATACAATAAATATCCGTGGATTGATTGTTTTGTAGGTTCATTATCTAGATTATTTTAAATTGAAAATGCAATTAACTAAACAATCACATAGAAAAGAGTTTATAATTATTTTCACCATTAAATATAAATTTAAAAACTTAATAACCTGTCATTCGACCATTATTGCATTTAAAATTCGAGAGACGCTAAAATGGTGATTCCCACCTTAGACTTCTTAAATAAAATAATTATGTGTTTCAATACAGCTTTCCCCCTTCGCCCCATTAAAACTAAATGTCATAAATCTTGGACAACTAAAGGAATAAGAACATCGTCTAAAAATATGAGGTCACTCATGTATATTAAAAAGTACACAGATAATCCCCTAATATTAAACTATATCAACAACTACAGAATATTGTATCGGAAAATCACCAAATCTGCTAAGAAAAACTATTACAAAAATCGCATCGCAAGAGCTAAAAACTCCTCCAAAAAAACCTGGTCTATAATAAATGACTTAAGGAATAAAACCCGTTCTTCAAACAGTGTAAATCCTAGCCCAGATGAACTAAACAATTATTTCGTAAATGTAAGTAAAAATATCAAATCTAACATAGCTCCGAGTCAGGATGCTCTCTCCTTCCTCCTACCTACTAAAAGGATCACTGAAAGTTTCTTCCTAAGACCAGTAGACAAGCATGAACTAGTGCAAATCATAAACAACATCCAAAATAAATTTTCCTGTGGAATTGATGGCCTGTCCACCAAAATATTTCTAAATATACCGGATGTAGTAATCAACATTTTAACTTCACTGATTAATGAATCCTTTGAAATTGGTCTCTTTCCTAACTGTCTAAAAACAGCTATAATAATCCCACTTCATAAAGGTGGCGACAAAACCAAAACCTGTAACTATAGACCTATCGCGTTATTGCCTACCTTATCGAAGATAGTAGAACGGCTAATGAAAAACCGTCTTTTGCCCTTTCTTTTCAAGCATAACATCCTCACAGCTCATCAGTATGGCTTTCTACCTAAAAAATGCACTAGCGACGCAATGTTTTCCGTTCTCAATGAAATATACACATCACTTAATGATAAACTTTTCACCGCTTCAGTATTTTGTGACTTCGCAAAGGCCTTCGATTGTGTAAATCATGATATTTTAATTAATAAGTTACAAATTTATGGCATACGGGGTTCTCCTTTACAATGGTTTAAAACTTACCTAGAAAATAGAAATCAACAGGTGCGGGCGAATGGTGAGGATTCTACAAATCCTCGGTACCAAGGTAAGAAGATACATTTTTAAATTTTATTTATTGAGGAAATTTATGACTAGAAGTTTACTAATTATTATTTACAATTCGCTGGTTGAATATGTAATCCAAAATAGTATAATAAAAATTTTCTACAAAAAACCAGTATTATATCCTACCTTTCTTTTATATAATAAAAAAGTGCTTTGTATAAGAACATTATATTATCTGTCTTGCTGTACCTTTATTTATGGAAAGCCTGAATTGAGATACACTACAAATTGTTTGCAACAAATATCAAAAGAAGTATATATTTTTAAATAATTTAACATTTAAGAGCCATTCACACATTACAGTTGACATCTTGATACTTGACAGACACAGCCAAGCATTATTCTGATTTTTGCCAAATAAAATGATCGGTAAATTATTTTATGGGGTTGCGACAGAGAACCAGTAAATTTTATGAAGGTGTTTTTGTGGCTAGGGGCGAAATAGTAGTACGCTTAAGTTAGCACCACCATAAAAAAGTCATTTTTAAGAAACTGCTTATATATTTTTCATACATTGGCAGGCTTGGCGACTAATTTCGAATAATCATAGCCTCACAAATGGCTATGGTTGCAAGTATGAAGGTCGCAACCCGCCTTAGAAATTTCACCTTTACTATCAACAGCTGTTGTTTGACAGGTCGTTAGAGAATGTTTGCAATTTATGGAGTTTTAAGAATGTTAGGAATGTTGACGTTAGAAATAATTGGAATCCCTAAAATTGTCACATAAGAAATGCATATGCGAATTTTAAGAAAATTGATATTAAAGTAGTTAGGATGAACAGAAAATTCTGAAAATTAATAGGGTTCTAAGTTAGAAGAAATTATTCAAGAAAATCAAAACCGCAAGTCAATCAGAACTTTTGTTATAGAGTTATTGTGCCGGCATACATACACACAGACGACCAGACGAATTTTTTTTTGCATTTTTGGACTCAGAATGATCGGAAACACGAAAAAAATTTTAAAAAATGGGGGAAAGAAAATTTTTCCATCTGCACGAATGCAATACTGAGGCCCCAGGGCCTCAGTAATTTTCAAGGGAGCAGCTACGTTGTAAAAGAGTTTAAATGCAGCGTAGCGGACTAATAAAATTAGCTTTTATTTACATTTACATTCCTTACTTAAATAATTGTTAGAGTGGCGAAGGAGAGGGGAATGCAGTATGAAAGTTGAGGATATGATAGAAATATGTCCCCCTTTAATCATAAATTGACGTTTGTCTAAAACATTGACACCGTTCTTGAAAATTATGCTTTCCTGATTTGGTATTCGAAAACAAAGTAGTTGTAGAACAGCATAGAACAGGTACTGCCCATATTTTTAAAGATTTTAAATTGCAGGCATCTATTCAATTTCAGGATTTGATGAAAATGTATTGCGTCATAGATATAATCGCTTAAAAGTCAAATAAAACTAATATCAGTCTCCAAAATTTATATAATTGATTGACCTGTTCTACTAGAAGGGATTGACGTTTAGTAACTCTTCAAAAACGCATGGATAATCAACAGGTTTACTCTTCCTTTTCCCAGAAGTAACCTGCTAATGAAATGATCAATATACAATGCGGGCCAAAAGCCCCCCCCCATTAATTTTTTGAACCGTAAAACTTAGAAATTTGAAATTTTGGGAAACTAAACCAAGGAATGTATACTATCTTTTAAATGACATTAGGTGACGTAATCATTAAAAATAGGATCATATGGCAAGTGATACATCATTTAAAAGCTTGTTTCAAACCCTTTTTTTTTTCTCCCTGGACTCGTCTGACTATGTCTCCGAATAACACTGAAGCCTATTGGCTTATTGTGTTTTACCCCATGTTAGTTCATAGCCCCCACTCTGTCACCTTTATACCTTGTACAAGTTTGTACAGATCCTTGGGTGAGTGGGTTCTATACGTTGTTAGATCAACTTGGGGTTGTCCAAAAAGAGCCTGTCTTTTGCGATCTAGAGCTTCGCATTCGCACAGTATGTGTTTGGCCGTTTCTGGTTTCTTGTGACATAGTCGGCACATGAGTTCATCATTATACATGTCAATTTTGTTCAAGTGTTCCTTTACTGGGGCGTGCCCAGTCATGAACCCTGTTATCACTTTCAACTGGTTTCTATTCATAAAAAGTAGTTCTCCAGTTTTTTTTGGACATGGTCTGCCTATGAAGGCTTTTCCATGTGCCTGTTTAGGGGTGCTTCCCCAATAGTCGATATGTTGTTACCGAATTCAGTCGTTTATGAAACCCTGGACTGTACTTTTTGGTACTCCTGGGTTTGTGTCTGGTTCCGGTGTTTCTTTTTGCAAGTTCGTCAGCTTTTTCGTTGCCTTCGATCCCTTGGTTATCTGGCACCCAAAATAGTTTTACTCTATTTCGGT